CAGAGCTGCAGAAATAATGGCCAGCCCCTTCTTCTCCTGTATTTACAGGATGGAGGTTGTGCCACCCCCGCGTAGATAGAGATATGGATCCTGAAGGAAACTGTTTATGGGAAACGCTTGCAAGCTCTGTTTGTTTTCTGTTAGATGGCAAAACGCTGCTTTGCCAGCCCCTCGCGGTGTCCCAAACACCGCAGCTGAGTGCAGCCCTCGGAAACAGCAACACATCACTCTCTCCTCCTTTCAAAGCTCCGCTCCCAAAGCGTGACACTCCGGCCGGAATCCGGAGGGAGGGAGGGAGGGAGGGAGGGATGGATAAGGATGGGGGTCACGTTTAGCTGTGTCCCCAAAACAAGGGGACAGGGTGCCCTGCAGGTTGGGGAGGGCACTCTTGGGGCCCTTGGGGTGCTCATCTGGGGGGTTGGAGGGTCTCCGGGGCTGGCCCACGCCGGGTCACGCTGCCCCCGCACATGTGTCTCCAACCCGCCGCCTTCAGTCACCGACGCGCTCCGTCTCGGGGTATTAATGTCAATTAACATTTAATAAATATCCATTTCCCTGGCGCGGGAGCGGGCCCGGCTCGTCCCGGCTCCCCCCGGGCCCTGCCGCACTGGGCACCCTGGGGCCGGGCTGGAGCTCTGGGACAGATTCCCCCACCTCGGGCCGTGTCCACGCACACGCGTGGTGGTGTTTACACTCGCGTGATCCCGAGAAGGGGGGAGAAAGGCGATGCTGTCCCGGCTGGGAGCGGGGGAGAAGGCGTGAGCTCATTTTCCAGCCGCTGGATTGCAACTTGAGAGCATCATCCCCGCCAGTGAGAAGCTCTCCACCGCCAAAAAAAATTCAGGAAAGGGCTTCTTAGGAAACCTCGGGGGCGAGCGGGGTGCGGGCCAGCCTCCCTGAGAGGCAGAGGTGAAAGAAAACAGCCGAGCAGCCAACGTGTGGCTGCTTATAAAGGCAGGAGTTACCCTCGCACTTATTTGGTGGTCAGTTCTTTCCATTACCTGCTCCATAATTCATCCACGTTTACAGTTGATTTATCAAAGACCAAATATTTCTGGTCGTAAACACTTCACCTCTGCTTTTATCTGCCTTCAGATTTAAGAAGCCCCTTCCCCGCTCACCCCTCTTTTAGCCTGTGACGCTGCGAGGATCAACATTGGAGGTGGTTTTGGAATCAGGGCGAATGCTCAGGAAAGCCCTGGATGCTCCGGGATCTGCTGAGCCTAAAACCAGAAACACTCAAGCTGAGTTTTAAAAGCAGGGTCTCCCCTCCCGCCCCCCTTTCCCAGTGCTCCATGCCCACTGTGCGATCCCGTTGTGGAATTTCATCAGCGAGCAGAGATAGAGTTGTCATCCCTATTCAGCAGCAGTTTATGGCTCTCCCCTCAGAGGATTTTACAACCCACATTCCACGACCTGCACATTTTTACTTCACAGCTAGCCTGGCTATTTTTCCTTTTTTTCTCCTTTTAATGACTGGATCTTTTCTTCTTTTAAAAAGAAAGAGGGTTGGGGTGGGGGGGGGAAAGGGGAGAAGAAGAAGAAGAGGAGTCCAGTGGAATGTGTGGAGGGGAGGTCGAGGGTTGCTCACCAGCCCCACTGCCCTGGGAAAGAATATGTTACACTCCAGATATACACAACATTTACACAGAACACAGAGCCAGGATCACAAACACCATATTGTAGAATAATTTCCAATCTGACTCCAGGAAATGTCGGGTGGAGGGGGGAATCAGGAGCTGGGCCCTGTCCAAGCCCTGCTCGCAGGCGGCTGGAGGGTGCTGGGGAGCCTGGGGTGAGTGTTGAGTCACTTCTCATCTGCACACCCCCTAGAAAGAGCAGCCTGGGGGGACAAACCTCTCTGAGAGCCCCAGAAGTCACCCCTGGGCCTATAACATCCCCTGAAATGATTAAGACCATCACACACCTTCCAAGCAGGCATCCTGATGACAGCTTTAAGAGAGGACAAATAGTTGGATTTGTGTAGGTAGCAGATGTCTCTGTCGCTCTGCTCGGCTCTGTTTCTGTATTTATTCACCAACCATCCCGAATTTCTGGTGTCTAAATTAAAATTAAAGCAGGAACTCAGAGTCTGACCGGCAATAGGAGGGCAGGAAACTTTCTGAACTTTGTTGTTCTCTCAGAGACACGCACGGGCACACGTACAAAAAAAGCACTGCACGCTTTTCCAAGATGGAAGGAAGCTAAAGTTGGAGTGGTCTGGGGGACTGAGAACAGAGAAGGTGAGGAGGGAAGGCCTCGAGCAGCAGGACTTGATATGTCAAATAAAAAGAAGGGCTGGCCCAGGTTGTGCAGTTCCTGCAAGGATTTCGCCCCTCCAGGACTGCAGGGGATGGGTCTTGGTCAGACTGCACCCAAAGACAACAGCAAGAGAGCAAACCCAACCAGCAGCCCCCAAACCATCTCCCCAGCCCCCCAGTTGACCTGAACCTGCCTTAATTTCCCAGGCACCGACAGAAAACGCGGCCGCCAGACCTACACCAGGTACCAGACCCTGGAGCTGGAGAAGGAGTTCCACTACAACCGCTACCTGACCAGGAGGAGACGCATCGAGATCGCCCACGCACTGTGTCTCACCGAGAGGCAGATCAAAATCTGGTTCCAGAACAGGCGCATGAAGTGGAAAAAAGAAAACAAAACCGCCTGCTCGGGCTCCAACAGCCAGGAGAAACCAGACGGGGAGGACGACGAGGAGGAATGAGAGGGGCGAGAGGAGGAGGAGGCAGGAAACGTGGAATCCCACGCGGGAAGAAAAGGGGGGAAAACACATGGGGGGAAAAAAAAAAAGACTATATATAAAAATAGAGAAATGATAAGTGCATAAATAATTAAAAGCCCTAGGAGTGATACATTGTGTTTCCTGACACTGAAAAAAAATACTACCTATATTAAAGTCCTTTTTTTTTTTTTGTACAATAGAATATCTACCTATTAAATGTGGGTTTAGAGTCAGAATAGACACATTTTTCTATGTGAGCCTTCCTCTAGTACCAGTAATTTGTAAATCTCCATTTGTACTTCACTGTGTACCTTTTTGGTAAGAAGTAACGTGGTCGTGTTTAGCACCTTTAATTTAGAAAATGTGACCTGAGAACCTGAATGCAAATTACACTTAACCTATATAGTCCTGTACATAATATGAATTAATATCATCCCTTCTCCCTGTAACCTCTGTGGTTCTTTTCTCCTTGCTCTGCTCTTTTGTCTGTGTATCTTTTTACCTGGGTTCCTTCGTTGTTCAAGTCTCTATGGAAAAAAGAAAAAAAAAAAAAGGAAGAAAAAAGAAAAGGAATTAATATTGTGCTACATAAAATGTTGTATATCAAAGTAGCAAATTATTTAATGGAGACGCGTTGCTTTTTTATTATTATTATTATTATTTTCCTTGTCTGTGATTATTATTCTTCAAAATAAAAAGGAAATCTCCAGTAATCCACCAAGATCTTGGGTGCCTTCCACTTTTTCTTATTAGAGATAACACACAGGTTTTCGAAATGCCTTTTTTTCCCCCGTGCAAAATAAATGCAATAAAATATCCTTTTATCCCGCTCTAACCCCTAAATTTCAATCCTTCTCTTTGAGACGGACAACCCATTGAAAATATTATCATTTTTCAGTAGTTTTGGCGACTGTACTGAGATATAATTGATATTCGGGGCTCTCGAAATGCGGACTGGTCTCTCTTCTGCCTCTCCCTCTATGCTTGCGCTGGGACTATTACTGAGAAAGGTAAGAGCGAAAAGGAGGAAACGTAAAGAAGCCACAATCAGCCCAAATAGTCTTTCCGCTCCTTGTTTCAATTCTCTCCTTCTCGTAACTAATTTACAGAAAACCTGTTTTACCGTGCCTTCGGTTATTTTATTTTATTTTATTTTATTTTATTTTATTTTATTTTATTTTATTTTATTTTATTTTATTTTATTTTATTTTATTTTTTTAACAGATTCTCCCTCCTCCCTTCAATTACTTGGCTGCGGACTTTTCATTAGCACCAAATAACGCTCAGCATCAAAGCACGCGTAAAATAAATTAAAGCAATTAAACGCGGGGAGGGGGGGGAAAAAAATAAAAACCAACAACGTCAAACAAAAGGCGAGTAAATTTAAGCACTTGCGCGGGGGAGCATCATCCGCCGCCCTCACCGCCTCCCACCGCTGTTTATTTACATCGGGGAAAAATGCAACCGGCTCTGGGAGGACTTGGCGGTGGCAGCTTCCACCTTCCCCCTTCCTTCCCTCTCTGCCTCTCTCTTTTTTCACCACCCACCAGCCCAGATGACTTCATGCCCCGAGTGCGGGCGCGCAGCGCATCCTTCAGCAGGTTTTAGCCAAAATAAGATGCCACGTCAAGCACCCGCGCGCCCCCAGATTTGCTGGATGTGCCGCATATCCTAATTATGGCAAGCCCGTTATTAAAGAGCCGCAGCTCTCGTGGCTTTTTGCGCCCTGAAAATTCCCACTTGGAGGGAAAAGAGAAGGGAAATCTTCCCTTTTTTCCCCCCCTCCCTTGGTGCAATCACTTCGCGGGAGCACTGGGTGCATAGAGGGGAGGGGGAAGGGGGGGTGGAATAGAAGCGATTCCAGAAATTTCCCGCCCCCCTCCCTCTCCTGGAGCTCTGCGGTTGGGGGGCAAGCAGGAATTGGGGAGAATTCCAAGGAAAAAAGGCAAAGCGAGCCGTGCCGGCGCTGCGGGGCGAGGAAGGCAGGGCAGGGCTTTACCGGTGGGGTGACCCACCTTGGAGGAGCCCTCCCCCGGACCCCACCCCGAGCTGTAGTGGGGGGCGTGGGGGACCCAGGCGGGGTCCCGGGAGGGTTTTTGGCCGTGGGGAACGGGGCAGGCACGACCCCCGCCGGCTCCGCTCTGCCCAGGGCATGGGCACCCCGGCCACGCTTTTATTGCCTTTATTTCCCTCTCCCCCCCTCCCTGAAATCTCCTAATTGCCCCTTTCAACAGAAAGGATCCCAACGGCGTGAAAAACGAAGGGAAAGACATCCAAAATCCCGCCGAACCCCACTGTTTTACTGTGCCTTTCCCCATTTAAAAGCCAACCCAAACCTCAAGCTCTTTATTCTGGGGGGGCTATTATTGTTCACAGTGCGAGGAGATATTCGATTATTTCTCTCCATCGCCCCCCCCCCCCTAATCCAATCAAGGAGTTGGGGGGGTTGGGGGTGGAAAAATCCTCGAACCCCTTTTCATATTCCTTTATTTCTGTTAAAAAAAAAAAAAAAAAAAAAAGATGGCGGCTAAGAAAAAGACTGCTGTTAAACCGGTCATGAAGAAATGCAATAAATTCCTTGTTGTTTTATGAAAATTTACAACTTTGTGATAGAACTTTATGAGTGGCTGGGTTCTGGGATTGGCCAGAGCCGGTCATGTGGACTGCTAACCGTGAACATGAACTTTTTATTATTTCCCATGTGGTTATATTGCACCATTCTTCTGTCCGCTGCACCTTGGGTCGGATCAGTGTCCTCTATAGGGCTCTCGCCTCTTTACATTTTTTTACTTTTGTGTATAAGCTCGATAGGGCTAAAACAGGGGAGAGGGGAGGGGGGGCCGCCTGAACACGCACCCACACGCACACAGAGACACCCACGGCCGCGCACACGCGCGTGGCACGACTGTTACACACGATTATTTTTTTTTTTAATTATTATTATTATCGTTAATTTTTTTTCTTTAAAAAAAAAAAAATCCTCAATTAATTGGCCCGCCGATTTGGAACCTCAGTAATGATGGCCGGGCAGAGGAGATTCTGGACGGAGTGGAGGCTATCATTTTTCAAAGAGGGAAGTTACTCCATTTTCTATGCAAATGACAGAAATGCAAGACGCTCTCACAAGTCAGAGAGGCGATCGACGGCTCTCAGGTTGGGACAATATTTGTCAGCTAACAGATAAGCAAACGCTGTCTGTCTCTCTCTCCCTAAATATTTTACTTATGCCACAGAAACGGACGTCAAAAGGTAAGGGAATCCTATGTTTCTCTTCATTTAATTTTTTATTCTGTGAGGAAATGCGTTTGTCAAGCTGCCTTTTCTACTTCATTCCCCATCTCCTTCTGCCCGGGGAAGGGGGGGGGGGGATAGAAAGAAAAGGGTGGGGTGATGAAGAAGGGAGGCACTGGAAGGAATTAGGGCTGGTGGAAACCTGTTTAAGTGATATTTTTTCCCCGATAATGTGTAACGGAAAGGTGAGATAAAGAGAGAAAGGAGGATGGAAGAAAGGCTAAGGAAAGAAATGGAGGGAAGGAAAGAAAGAAATAGGGAAAGAAAATGGGAAAATATAAGAAAGAAAGGAAAAGAGAGCCAGAACCAGAGGAAAAAAAATATAAGGAAGGAAATAAGAAAGAGAAAGAAGAATGAAATAATGGTCTGAGAAGGATAAAAATTAAGCCTGTAAGGTCACCTGGAGATAGTAGACTTGGAATGAAGGATTTTGCAGTAGCTCGGTGACGGAGGCTTTTAGATACTGCCTTTTAAAAAATACCAAACCCTTTGTGGGTAGTTGTCGCTTTTTATTTTGTTCCCCCTCGCAGAATCTCTTGCCAGTTTGCCTGTCTTGAGGCGAGCCCAGTAATTTGGCGAAGTTTGTGTGGAAGCCAGTTGGGTTTTGCGTTGCTCTCCAGGGTCATTATTATGTGGGTGGTTTCTTCGAAGAGGGCAGTTCGCGGCAGTCCTCGGAATTAAGGTTCTGGAAATTAGTTGGGAGAAAAAAAAAAAAAAAAAAAGGGAATTAAAAAAAAAAAAAAAAAAAAAGAGAAAAGAGAAAAAATTAATAAGAATGAAGCCAACCCAGAGCGCAGTGCTCTCATTGTATTTTTTTTTTTTTAACTCCCAAATGAAGCTGACGTTGCCATGCAATAAACCTCCTCGTATTTAATTGTGTTCTGCAGTGTTAAGGGGCTTTACGGCTTTCCCGACCGAAATACCGGCTTGGGTTTCAGCCCCACGGTACGTCGGGGCTTTTCCACACCACGTTGTGTGCAAATCTCCCTCTCCTTTCCTGTCTGATTCCTTAACGCTTGCCTTCCTCTAGGAAAATATTATTCCGGAGATGCCCGTCATTTTAAATGTCTTTTTTTTTTTTCTTTCACAATATTTCAGTGTATTTTGAATTATAGTACTAATTGCTACTGTTATGAGGTGATTTTTAAATAAGATAATGTAAGAACCTGTGCATGTGAAGCGAGATTGAGTAAGGGGAGATTCATTACTTAAGCATAAACCATTTTATGAAGTGACGATTTATCTCATCTAAACTGACTGTGCCTGAATATTGTGTGGACAAGAGTAAATGATCGCGAGTCGTGGAAGTAATAAACAGAAAGACATTTTTAAAAGCCATTTCTTCTCGAACCTGTTACATTTTTCATAAATCACGGGGTGGCAAAAATGAATGCGGGTTGAGTCTCCCGTTCTCCCTTTTCCCCCAGTCTCTCCTCGCTCTGGTTTTTTTCTTTCCTATTCGTAAGGATGGAGGGGGGGGGGGGGGGAAGGGATAAAAAAATTAGAAACAAATAATTTAATTTATAAGCCTTGCTCCAAAACGCTTTCATGCCGCTTCCCCCACACCCCGCGTGGGCAACAACCACTTGTGGAACCCGCGCGCCTCGGTGGTGCGGGCGGGTCATTTGAACCTGCGGGATGGGGAGACCGAGGAACCCCCGGTGTGCGTGTGCTGGAGGGGGGGTCCGGGTGTCTCCTGGCTGGTCTCCCCTCCTGCCATCCCGCTTGTTTGTTTAGGAAAAGGGAGTAAAAGGGCCGGACTGGCGGGCAGCCCCCGCCGCGCATCCCCCGGTGCCGCCGCCGCCGCCGCGCCGCCGGGCTCGCCCATTCCCCGCCGTCTGCTGCCATCTACCGTCGGCGGGCGGCGGCTCCCGGGGGGCTCCCCCGCAGCCCCTGCCCCGCCGGGGGGGTCCCTGCCCCGCCCGGCCTCCCCTCTCCCCTGAGCGCAGCCCCCCGGGTACAGCCTCGAGGTGCGCTGCGGGCCCCGGGCGGTGGGTGCGCTTTTAGGCACGGAAATGTGTGTATGAACATTATCTGCAGGCTGAAAGAGGATGGAAATACAGTCAGAGGACGCGCTGAGATGTGGGCATCTGATGCATCCACACATCCCCCAGCCTGTCCCAAATCCGCGTGTGCGTGCACATACACGGCCTCCACCGTCCCATCCATTCATCCATCCTCCCATCCATCCTCCCATCCATCCATGCATCCATCCACCCATCCACCCTTCCATCCATCCTTCCATCCATCCATCCTTCCATCCATCCATCCATCCATCCACCCACCCATCCATCCACCCACCCATCCACCCCTCCATCCATCCATGTGCACGCACACGGAAGATGAAAGGTGGCTGGTTGGTGGCTGAGCGCGAACACAAGCGGAGATGTTGTAAAATGCGGTGTAATCGTGACGTGCGAGGCGGATGGTGGGGGTGGAAGGTGGGGGTGGTTTGCAGCTCATCATAAAAGGCAGAGGAGCTTTTATTTCTTTATTGCTCGCAGTGGTCATTTCGGTGGGGTCTGGAGAAGATATGTCAAGTGGCGGAGCGGGGTTGAGGTGGTTGCTGGGGAAGGCGCTGGGAGCAGAGGCAGACGACGGATCACTTTTAAGTTACTGTAGCTTTGAAGGGACAATGCGCGTCTGTTATTTTAAAAGGTTTCTCTCTCTCCCTCCCTCCCTCTCGCTTTCTCCCTCTCGTTTTCTCCTTCTGCCACACAGTTTCCTGGCAACTGTTTACGTCTAGACTAGAGACATTTTCTCGAAGAAAGT